ATGTAGAAATAATAATTTGAAAAGCCTATAAATACAGTAATAATTACAACACAGTTACAAAAAACGACTGCAACAAGATCAAGCACATTCTGTTACAATTAGTTATTGAACTCGTAAATTTTGTAATAACAGAAAAAAATATTAAATTGTCGGAAGAATTGTAAAATTATTTGGAGGTACGTCATTTGCCCCGTTAGTATGCGTGGTAATTTTCCGAAAGCGTTTTCTTCTGTATTTGATTTCCAAGCGCAAACCGATGGCATCCCTTACCTCCTCGATTGTCCTGCGAGTTTTCTCGAGCATCTTTCACGCAAATTGACGTCGCGCCGTCACGCGACGCCGGGACTCTCCCAGCCTCCGCCGGCGGAGCGAAATCGCTCCAAAAGCGAGCATTAGGCCGCGGCGCGCGCGTCGGAAGCGCTCCCGCGTGTGTTCGGCGCACAGCGCGATCCACCAGCGGGACGCCCCGCCGCGACCTCTGTTATCGGCGCCTGTCATTCCGTGGAAGCCGCCCGGCGGCGGCCGCGGGGTGGGTGGGGGCGGCGCCGGGATGGCCAGAACGACCTTCGGGACACGCGTAGAGGCAGGTCAAACACAGCGGCTTACACACTCGGGCCAGATGGACGAGATAACGGAACGGACCCCGGAAACTACTTCCATCGCGATCGTCAAATAATACAAGATTAATACGTCGTTGCCATGACGTCTATCGAACTTTCCACTAGCGTTTTTCAATCCTTATTCAGATATCGTGTATCAGCAGCTTTTCTTTCATTTCTCGTATTCAACAGTACTACATCCACTTCACACATTTCTTTTGTTCAAATTTCAACATTCGTGTATCATTATATTTTGTATTTTCGCGGAAAGATAAATACTTTACTGTCACAATTTTTAACAGTTTGTCCTGGCATCTTCGTTAAATCATATTATTCTCAACTTTCTGACACGACAGCCTGACTGTCTGTTTGTTTGTCTGCCTTCCTGTCTGTCTGTGACTGTCAGTATCTGTCTGTCTCTATATCTATCAACGTCTGCGTTTGTCTATGTCTGCCTTTGTCGGTCTCGTATTTTCGAAGTAATGCACATTACCTTATTTCAAGGCCCGTCTTTGATGATGAAAAGATTTCATGACGGAAACAATTTCTAACATCAGTACTGTAGTTGTTTGTTGGAAGACGCAAAAAAAAGTCAACTTTGCAATCTTCAAAAATTAACAGTTCGACAATAATGCGATCTTTCACTCCAATTGATTCACCAAGTGATAGAAGAAGTAATTTACTATACACATGAATAAGGCTTTTTCGTTACCAGGGCCTGCCAAATTATCTGTCAAATACCGCCGTTTTCCTCCCAAAGCAATACAACACTTTCCAGTGCGGAAGCAGCATGCGAGAGAGTACCGGTGGAAGGCCGTCCATCCCACGCACAGAGTAGCCGACGTTCAGCGAAAGCCGCCGCATCCCTTCGACTCGCGCGTGGGTCCTGGCGCGTGGCAGCGCAGGAAGCGAGGAGGCGGCCGCAGCGCGACTGAGGGCGGAAGGGCCGGGAGGAACCCGCGCTTATCGGCACGGCTATCATTTGCACCTTTGCAAGTCAATTAACGACAAGTAGGGCGCCGGCCGTGGGCACTCGTTGCTAAGCGCTCGAAGCAACCTTCTAATACTTAAATAAATACAAGGTGGTGCCTGTATCAAATATTGATACAAGACACAACATTTCATTCATTTCATTCATTTCATTCATTTCATTCATTTCATTCATTTCATTCATTTATTATTTATTAATTTATTGATGATATTTTTCTTGGCAGCAGTTGGATTTAAACAGCATGAGAGGATCAATCTCAGTGATAATTCACATTAATAAATACTGGTAGATGAAAACCTCTACATATCTGAACTGATAGAAATCTACAAAATATTTCTGTACATGCACAGAACACTAAATCCTCTGAGTTATTGGTGGTAAATATTCTCAAGTTCTTTTGAAATTATTCTCAATCGTTTTATTATTTTACATTAAATACCAGAGCGACATTAAATAGAATGAACGACAGCTACGAAGCCCGAACATTAATATCTAGAAGAAACGAAGAGTTTCAACAGAATTTTATACTCACTCGCATTATTTCTATCTTTTGCAATTTTCGAACTTTGAGAGAATAAAAAAAAGAAGCCCTAAAGCCATTTCTAAGCTTTCTATGATCTACCACAAGAACAAAATGTGGTTTTTGAGACTTTTTCATACATTGCATTAACTTCAAGCAGAAATTCCGAGAAAACTAGTAGGTTTTATTCAAAAGAATGTTCTTGACCATATTAAAAGATCTACTATTTTGAAAAACATTTCATTAAAAATACCACTACCATCAATATTGTATACTTACTATGTTCGCTGAAAATGGGGCCAGCAGCACTTTCCTTTGCTACACACGAGGTCAAAAAACATATAAAACCATTGTAACCGTTTTGAAAAAATCCTTTTTACGCACAATTACACGAAAACTACTCTCATTTTGGAAAATTGTACATCAACTTATTTTAAGATTTTAAGTCTTTGAGCAAAACATTATCTTAAGGGGAAAATATGATTTCAAAAGAAAGTTGACCAGCAATTTTCAAAACTTCAGAATTTCACTAAAAATGAAACTTGAACCATTTTTTTGAAACTCTTCATCGCTATTCGAGGAAAAAATTGAATAATGAAAATGTGGAGCTATCTTGAAGAAAAATTTGAAAATGTTGACGCTTAGAGTAAAGTACTCACAAAATTCAAAAGATGTATCAAAACACGCAGGGCCTTGAGTTCTTTCAGATCGATTGGGAAATATCGATTTTGGAGATAATCATCTGAACAGTATGAGGCGCTAGCGTTGACCACGGAAGAACGAACAGACGGACAGAAAGGCATACGGACGGACCGACAACGTTCTCTCACCAATTGATTTTTCGGTATTAAGGACCTACAAAACATGTATTCTGACTACTCACCGTGTTGATAAAATAATTTACTACATGAAGAAACGAGATTTATTCACTTTTTCGTTACCAAGGCCCAACAATAACAGTTTTTCTCTCGAGGAATCGCCAATTTCCCTCGCATGATTAAAATACTTTCTCTTTGCTACGTTCGCGGTAAGGCGAGAAAATAGAACTGAAACAAGGTAACATAAGCATGGTTTCCAAACGTTAAGGAAGTGTGATTCTATGACATGTTATCACCCGGCGTATGCTGATATCGGCCACGCCTCCGCAAGGCAGACATCGAATAATACTTGTGTTGGAATGGCATTGCCACATATTTCCGTTTTAAAAAGATGTACAGTCTTAGAGAAAACTTTCATCTTTTGGTGAAGTACTTGACTGCAAAGGTGCTGAAACATACGTGATATGGCGGTTACATTTCACCGAAATACGAACGTTAAAAAAGAAATTGGATTTCTCTAACTTTACCGAACATCAGAAAAATGATCAAAAATGACGTTATTAATACTAGCATGACGGGAAATACAAAGTCGTAGTTCATAATCATTGTCATCAATAGGAAGAAACTTATCTTCAGAAAAAGTAGTTTTTGCAAAGTCGTGCAATCGATAACGTACATAAAACTAGGAACTAGTTGAACGGAAAACCTAAATGCTTTTATTGGACATTAGTGTATCTTCTGACTATATTTTTGCTTTTATAAGGATTACAATACAATAATACGTATAATATATGAAAGCTGATGTCTTTATCTTCAATGAAAAGTATAGCTTGATGTTCTGAATCTAACCCGTCGTTTTTATATTATTTATATATTATAACATTTACTTCGTTTATGATAGGATTGAGAAATGTATGGCGAGAAATGAAATCACCATGTATACAAATTAACTAACTTTTCGTGACAATCAGTGTAACCTCAATATGCACATAACCTCCAAATCCCAAACAAATCCGCTAGTTTATTCCTGACACTTGCATTAACTTGAGTAAAAATTAACCATAAGGTTCCAGGCATATATTGGCACTATTGATATGGTATTTTTCATTATTTCCAAGTTCATTGTGTATTAGTGTCGAATTGGTGTTTAATGGTGGCGGCAATAAATAAAGTGTAAGTTACGAACAAGTTTGACACAGACAACAAAAGGGAGAAAGACGAGACCAATAATCGTATTCCCTTTATTGGCTGTCGGTGCACATGCAGTAGAATTCTCTCGAGAATTGTCGTGTTACATCTTTCAAATTTACAACTTGCAAAAACTCTTCATTATTACACTTTATCATCATGGTCCGTTGTAAACTTAATCCTCAAAAATATGTTTCCCATTATAGTACTGAAGAAAACGCCAGGATACCGAGAAAATAAGTTTGATCTCGACAGCCCCATCTGGTCAAGCAAACTTTTTCATACACGCGCTTATCAATCCTATCTAAACTCGGCGAAACGGCGTCAAGGGGGAGACTAGCGTCGTGGTAGAAGGAGACAGAATGACAAACGTGGTGGTGGAAGCGCTAGTGGAGACGGCAAATGCGTCGAAGCCAAAGAGGAAGGAGACAGCTGAGAACACTAGCCAACGCCCAGGGGAACGATCTCTAGAAAACATCCGGTTGACAGCGGTGGTGACTCGATGGTAACAGCCGGCGCGGAACGGGTCAGAGGGCCGAGATCAGAGCAGTAACGTGAAGGGAATTAGGGTTGGAGATGGGGGTTGGGATGAGGGGCTTGAAACGCGGGGGCCGATGCCGATGAGTTGCGCAGATGGAGACCCAGCTAAAGCGAAGCGGACGGAGAACGACAAGGAATAAAGGGGAGGAGCGGAGGCGCTGAGTCGGCAGTGAGCCCGGGGCGCCGCCCGAGGGTTAATTAGCTCTCTTCTCTGGGCGTCTGCGGCGCTGAGGGGCGGATTCTTTGAGGTCTCTGGCGGCGGCAGCGGCGGCGGCGGCGGCGCGCGTGCGGCCTCACATCCCGAGGAGCCGCCGGCCTATAGCCTCCCCCCCCACACACACACACACCCCAACCGCCCCACCTCGTCCCGTCCCATACCGTCTCGGCCCGTCACGCACTCGGCTGCGTGAATCTACAGCGGAAATCTGCTTCTGGCGCCGCAGGCGGACACGTCGCGGGCCTTCTGCTTCGCCTGACAGCGACACGGCTTCCTGCTCGCTGCGCCTTCCACTTACATTACGCACACCACGGTCCACTTTGGCACTTTCATTTGAAATGGGTGAAATCACACTAAAAATTTCTAACGTAGCAGACTTTTGAAAACAATTTTCAATCATTGATAAGCAACTATTTTGCGGACTAATGCACCTGCTTAGAATTAGAATTGAATGTAGGGATTAGGCTAGGTGAAAAGGAACACATCACAAGTACAACAGGGGATCACAGAAGACTAACAAACGTCTTCGCTGGACCGATTTGCAAAATTATGAATGCACAGAAAGGTCAAAAATTGAATAGGAATGTATTTGTTCAATTACCCCTTCCGCTTTTAAG